AATCAAGCCTATTTTCACTATTTCGCCGCAGCCGCAACTGCTTCCAGGCCCATGCTATAATGACATAAGCTACCACTCAAATACACTAACAACATTTGTACATCACTGAACAGCAAGAGATAATGGCTCAACCACCTCGTTTTCAAGCTAAAATTCGTCCTATGAATCCACCCCGTTTTTCGGGTGAAATATACCAGAAAAGTGATTTTTGATCTTTATTTCGTATTTCTAGTCCATACCCCATATACAGTAGTAGTGACACTAAAGTGTAATATTTCAATAAAATATAAAAGACCACCAATTCCATCCAAATGCACCAATAAAATATTCTAGATATAAAATAACCTATATATCATACATTCAGACGCTAGGATTCTCTATTTTTATGGACAGTTACTTAATTAAAGGCCGAGGTTTTCAACCGTACGGTTTTCCTCAGGTAAGTTTGGTGTAAGGTGGAGCTTAATCGAAGGGGCTGAGAAGCCCCAAGGGAACGACGCTGGCTTGTGTATACTACCTATATACACAGGATGTTACCTGAGCCCCTGATTGTATTACCTGTATGCGTTTTCCTACGACTTTGTAAACCGAGGCTTTTTTTTCTTTGTTCATGTTTACCTCATGAATCGAAATGCGAAATAAAGCATTTTTTGTTGCAGACAGAATCCTTCTCAATTTCTCTCTTTTAAAATAATTGATATTTTTCATAATTCGACATTTTTTTTTGTATACAGCGTTAATGAAGTGTTATAACGGAAATACATATAGCACCAAAATTTGTCGTTCTAATCTGGCGACAAAAAGGGAAGTAATTAGGTCTTTCCACCTTTCTGTGGAAAGACCTATTGATTTTCTTCTGTTTCTTATTATTATTCTTCTTCCGCAGATTTTTTGTTTCAACATTTATCGAAAAGACTTTTTGTTCATCGTAAAGGTCATAAAAAGTTATGAACAAATTTGACCCAACGCGTATGAACTATGACCGCTTTCGAAGTTATTGCCCCTTTCGCAAGAAATGCTTGTTATCGCTACTCCTTCTAAACCATAAAACGTAGAAATATGAAACCTTCACTAAAGTCTTCGACTAATTGAGAGGACTCTGGAATCTATTCATTGCGAAAGTATTCGGTGACCCCTTCAATGAGTTATTGCCCCTGAAACTTTTTAAATTTTAGATATAATTAAAAATTTTCAAAACGAGAAGTGATAGAGACATGGGACCAACTGCATAAGATTCATTGACCTTTGATCATGAAATTAATGCAGAGGTCAAAGGTCAAGGTCACTCCAAATTTGAGAAATTAAGCTCTTTTTATATCTTTTTTGTCTTTTAACATATACAAACTGTATAAGCATCATTAATATGTACTCTTAAAACTATTTTAAAGATTTCATTCGTATTTCCTAAGATTGACCCTATTAAAAGTTATCGCCCTTTGTATGAAAAACCTTGTTATCGCTACTCCTTCGAAACCGTAAAACGTAGAAATTTAAAACCTTCACTAAAGTCTTTGTTTAATTGAGAGGACTCTGGAATCTATTCATTGCGAAAGTATTCGGTGACCTCTTCAATGAGTTATTGCCCCTGAAACTTTTTTAATTTTAGAAATTATTAAAAATTTTCAAAACGAGAAGTGATAGAGACATGGGACCAACTGCAAAAGATTCACTGACCTTTGATTATGAAATTAATGCAAAGGTCAAGGTCATTCAAAATTTGAGAAATTGAGCTCTTTTTATATCTCTTTTGTCTTTGAACATACACTTAATGTCTTTGCATCAATAATATGTACTGTTAAAACTATTTTAAATATTTCATTTTTGTTCCCAAACATTAACCCTTTTAAAAGTTATTGCCCCTTGTTCGAAAAACCTTGTAATCGCTACTTCTGGGAAACTGTAGACCGTAGAGACACCAAACCTTCACTAATGTTTTTAGGATCTTGAGGCATAACTTCACTGTATAAGTGCCAAAGGATCTGATGACCCCTTATATGAGTTTTTGCCCTTTAACGTCTTTGTACTTACTATTAAACCTTATAACCTAAAAACTATAAGTCGTAGAAGCATGGGGTCAATTGCATTGTGACTCTTGACCTTTGACCTTGTACATTTTCTCAAGGTCTAAGGTCAAGGTCATTTCATTTTTTTTAAAATTTTCATTCTTTTCTATCTTTTAAAACAATTTTGGTTTCTTATTCATGGAATTTAGTTTTAAGGAGTCAGATATAAAACAAAAATAAAATTCAAAGAAGGTGGAAAGACCTCTTATTGTTCTGTGAACAATAAGTCTCCTAGTTCAAATTACATGTCGTCTACGCAAAACGAAAGAAGAGAGTGAATCATAAAACAGTTTCTCGGTAAATAACAATGAAACTTAGAAACGATGTTTTGAGAACAAAATGTTGAAGAAGAAATATTATTGTATAAAGGAATATCTTTTTAAGATAAACCATACTTGATTTTTCCATGAACGCATGGCCTGTAAAAATGGCCATTGCTTCGGACAGGGATGATTCCCCGACAGCTATGAAACGGGAAAAGAATCATCTGCATCGTTTTTTTCTGTAGTGATTCATTCTTAATTTCAAACATTAATTACAAAGCAAGATGTTATATTCCGAGTAATTTCTCTTCGAAAACTTACTATTATACCGTAACTTCGTCACTTTGTCTCGAAGAAAAGCGACACGTACAGGTTATATAAATTCGCTTGACTCATGAACAATGTTACAATGTTGTCATAATTGTTTTAAAAAATAATTTTACTTAATGCTAATATACTAGCTTCAAACGCAGGTCGGTTTATTTTGTCAATTAATGGAGGAATAAGTGTACGTTAACTCACGTTTTGACACGGAAATTAGAATTATCGATTGTAATCGTGATATGAAATCCTCCCTTTTAAAATTAAATTTATAATATTTATTATATAGCCATGATTTTCTTGTCATTTATTTAATTATTTGATAGATTGAGTATATTTATAGCATATTCTTATGAATTAAAAAAGAAAAGAACGATTTGATTGCTTCTCTATCACGAAACTATTCTCTGCCACCTTTACAATTTTCCCAGATGCAGGGTACTACTAAACAGAGTACGCTAGAGTACTTTAGAGTACGCTAGAAAAATTATGAAATTTAATGCAATTAGATTGTTCATTTATGCTCATATAACTATATGCTCATACAACTTTATTAAAAAATTATTATAAACTAATATGCAATATTTCCTTCAAATATTAAGCTTTTTAGCAATAATTTTGACTAGAAAATAACGCAACATTCATAAGTCAATGCATTATAAATTACTGTACTAGTATAAAACCCCGATCTCGATCACTATTTAATTTGATTCATATTTACTAATTGCAACTAAATTTTATCAAAAATTAAATAATTTGCTTTATTTAAATATTTTTCACATTAAAATTGAAACATTTAAACATGTTCAAAATAAATAAGATCTATTATACGTCTCTGATAAGATCAGGATCAAACAAGAGACGATAACCTGAAATCGAAAATTAAAATAACTCCTAAAATAGGGGAAAACCTACGAATCTAAGTAGAAAAACATTCAAAAAGTACGTATAGTTTAATTGCATTAGATTATTAAATTTTACAAACGTACTCTAAAGTACACTATCGTACTAGCGTATTCTGTTTAGTACATAGGACCGCAGAATGCACGACCGTGAAGCCGAGCATGCGTATTCCAGGATTTGGACTAACGTAGTTGCTAACACTCGAGAGCGCTAGCAATAAAGTAACACTCTCAAAAATTTTCTTCGCAAAAAATAATGAAATTTAATTATTAAAAAATTCTTATAAACGAGCAAAATTTAAATCACGACAACGCCAAAGATCTTAAATTACATGTATCTCAACATAACTTTTCTGACTGATTTTTCTGACCATGCAAAGAAATTTCGTCCAGTTTTCCGCAGCGTTGTCCCAGAGTCAACAAAAGTATTCCCCAAACGCTGGTAAGACAATTTACGGCAGCAGATTTCGAGAGGGAGGATCGTAGGTTTTCAGCTTTCTTAGTTACATATGCAAGAAAAGTAAACTGGATACATTCCAACATTTATTTCTATCATTGATATTTTTTACGTTTTCTAGCTATAGATAAGTGACTAGGTTAAAGTTTTTGGAGCAGGTCCATTCCCAAGGAACTATAAGCCCTACCCAGACCAAACTTACATGGATGACTGTATCTAGGGATGGACACTACCATACTTGCTTCAGATGCTGGATCTGACCTATATTTTCCAGATGAGTGATCAGGTTAAAGTTCATTCCCAAGGAACTATAAGCCCTACCCAGACCAAACTTGCATGGATGATGCATCTAGGGATGGACAATACCAGACTTGCTTCAGATGCTTGATCTGACCTATATTTTCATCCCAAGTAACTATATAAACCCTACCTTATTAATTCTTGTTTCAAGACCTTTCATTTGATAACAAGAACTTTGACCTTTTGACCTTGGAGTTTGACCTACTTTTAAAAAAAATTACCTTGGCCATAACTTCTAATCGGTTAGGGCTAGGGCTTCCCTACTCTACATAAGTATTTATGTGACATTAGACTTCTCACTGAATACCAATTACCTTGACCTTTTGACCTTGACCTTGGAGATTTTTATACTTCTATAAAACTTAAACCTGAACATTGGTTTACTTTCAAATTTCACACATTTTTTTCCCAGTAAGAATACCCTATTTTTTGTACCAATCAATCAAATTTGCATTTAAGAAAAGTTAAATCTTTGCTATGTTGCCGTACGGGGGGCATCAGTGTTTCCCAAACATATCCTATATTAATTAAGCAGTAGTTTATTAACAAAGATAACAAAGACTTCAGGGCAACACACGCTATTGTTTGGCAATGCTTGCAATAGCAGACTTTCTAGTTTGTATTTCCCATTTTATCTATCATAGTTTTGTTTAGAAGTATCTTCAGATATGGTCTATATTTCAAAGAGCTTCTGCACACAATACAAATTGCTATAGCATAAACTCTTTGAGCCCAATGGCTTAGATAAGCATATAAAATAAATAAATGGTAAAACACTTTTAAAAACACTTTATTGAATATTTTTTATATTCTATTGAATAATACTCCTCTTACACCATGTACACATTAACCTAATGTATTATCATGGTTATGAACCTGTTTATTAACATTCATGATAAAGGTTAAATACCATTCGAGTGCATTTTTACCATGTGGCGACTCAAAGAATGTTTATGCATTACCTTACCACATTTATCACAAGCTATCCTCATCAGTCCTCGATGGAGGTCTTCATGATTCTGAAGATTGGATTGACTGATGAAAGTTTTTTCACAAGTGTTACATTTAAGTCGAGCATGAGAATTTTTCTCATGACTAGTTGAGTGCATTTTTAACATGTGGCGCCTTAAAGAATGTTTATGCATTACCTTACCACATTTATCACAAGCTACGTTCATCAGACCTTGATGGAGGGCTTCATGAGTTCGAAGACACATTTTATTGATGAAAGTTTTTTCACAAGTGCTACATCTAAGTCGACCATGATTATTTTTCTTTTTTACATGGTTCTCTTCTGATTGACTGCCATTGGTCTTATGTTTATGTTTGCTCAATTTGTGACTTTCATATCGCAACCTTTCACAAAAGCCCTTTCCGCAATATTCGCAAACATAAGGTATGTCTGAAATTTGTGATTTTGTTTCCAAACTCAAATCATCATGGATTCTGTGCCTTACCATATGATGTCGAAAACAAGACTTAACAAGAAGTTTACCACAAATTTCACACAGAATCTTGGTAGAGGAATCATGGGTATTCATGTGCAGAATTCTGGCAAACCTACTGCAAAATCTCTTCCCACAAATCTCACAGAGAAATGGCTTTTCTCCAGTATGTAATCTTTTATGATCTATGAGTCTCCATTTGGATTTCAAGATCTTCCCACACACATCACAAGGAAACTTCCCAGGCTCATGTGTCTGCTGATGCAGTTTAAGAATATTTCTTTTTTTGAATGTTTTTGGACACTTATCACATGCAAATGTTTTTGTTTTCATGTTTGAAAAATGTGTATCTCTATGTTCACAAAGCGAAGAGGTGAAAACAAAGGCCTTTTCACACAAATCACATTTATATGGTTTTACAGTGCTGTGCAACAGTTTCAGGTGCCTTATATAGGTAGATTTTTGCGTGTAGGATTTCTGACAACTATCACAAAAATAAGACTCCTTTACCTTCTTCCGGACTTGTTTTGGAGCTGAACCCTGAAAATCTATGTGCACTGCATCTTTAAGCTTTCTATCCCCTTCCTTATTTTGTGCCACTGTCGTATCAGAGTTCAATTTTAGATTGCCCCATAATGTTTGACACTTATTACACATCAAGTTTTTTGGAAACTGTGTTTCTTCAAATGTTTCTTCCCGAACTGGCTGCTTACAAAAAATGCAAACAAACGATACTTTAACACAGTTACTTTTTTCTTTGTGTTGTGCAAATGCCTCCAGGTTGGAAAAGATTTTACCACACTTCTTGCATTCAGGTATTTTGGTTCGAACGACTCTGACAGTTTTGACAACTTCTTCTTCCCTCTCATACGTTGGTAAGTTAGCCTCTTTCATTCCAGCTTTAGGTTTATTGCAGCTGATACCATGAACAAATTTCAGATGTGCAAATGCACTCATTTTGCAAGAGAAAATCTTTTCACAATATCCACATTTTATGCATTCGCTTTGTAGTCCTTTGTGTTGTCTAACATGCCTCTGAAGGACTAAAGGGTCACTAAAAGTCTCTTGACAAATTCCACACTTATAAAACTTGTAGCCCATTTCTTCCATTTTATCTTTGGTGATACTTTTCTCTTTGATAATTATTTCGTCTGTTATGAAACATTCTTTTGAACTTTTCTAAAACATGAAAAAAATCATTACTTCATTTGCCTAATGAACAATTTATGAATCAATTCATGTAATGGAAAAGGTACTGTAAACCAATTATTATGTATACACGTCATTTTTTATTCGCGACTGACCGCTAGAGAACTAATCCGAGATGATTAATATCTGCGAACGAGTGGTCACATTTTTTTTTATTTCCACGAGTATTTTTGAATCAAATTAAAATTTATATCCGCCAATAAACTAGGTAAAATGGTAGCATGAGGTCTGCTTACGCATTTTTCAAGACAATCTGTGCATTGCATCCATTTAAAATCTTATATCCACCTCTAAAGTGGGTAAAATGTTTACCATGAGTATACTCCATATACACATTTTCACAACGTTCAGACGAAAATCGGAAAAAAATCTAGGAGATTAAAATTGATTTAAAACTCTCAATTATTAAAGTGCCTCATACTTATTGGGTAATCGACGCTTTCCAAGATCTACATAGCCAAGGGGCAATTATTATAGATGGTTGGGACAGAGCAGGACTGGGCCATAATTACTGTATACAGGGAAATTTTCGCCCCCGTTTTATTTTCGCCCCTTTCATCCTCGTCAGAAGTGGGCGAATTTAAAACGGAGCTAATTCAAATTACATCGCATTATTTCTTAAACAAAACTAAGACTGGGCGAATTTAAAACGGGACAAAATAGTTCGCAAGTGCAAAAGGGCGAAAATAACACGGGGCGAAAATAACCCTGTATACAGTAGCCGTAATTAACCTGGCTACCTCGGATCTCGACTGGTCTGTAACAATAAATGAACAATAATAACACAAGCTGAAATGATTATTGACATTTTAATCATTTTTAGATTTGCCATTTGTTTTTATTTTTTTTCTGAATGTTTGAAATTAAATTTCAATCGCTTCTTGTACAATAACAGAAGAGTTCTTCCGTGATTAATTATTGAACCGTCAGGATCGGTATTGAAAAAAGGGCAAATAACTCTTAGACTAAATAAAACATAATGAACAACTGGTTCGCGACGATAAATAACCACGAGCAGAGGATACTCGCGGAACTTGCGGATATTTATCGCACGAGTATAATACTTGGTTTACAGTAACCAGGAGCCATAATGTTTACATGAGTTCTATTGGTCTTGTTCTTTATCATCTTAAAAAAATCTTTTATAGTTTGACAACTTCTACCAAATGCTTTGGTCTCACTTTAGCCAAATAAAGTCCTAACATAACAACCTAAATCCACATATTCTGGGGATGCTTCAATGTAAAACTAATACAGGTACCACACAGAAAAAGTATTTCTAGCTTCTATTTTTTGTTATATTTATCATGATTGTTTATTTAATATCTATTGTCAATGAAAATTTCGTTTCAATATACATGATATACATGATAAACAGCCCTTATAGACTTGCATTGAAAGTCTGAACCATGTGAAATATGACTTCACTATATGTGCTAGATAATTCAAGCTAAATGTAAGTACATATACCATGTATACAATAGCTACCTGTAAATTAAATTAAGGTGATATTCAAGTGTTGTTAACTGCTTTTTGGACTGTGTCTTCATATTATATTTACATATTGGAACAATTTGATATGGATATTAAACAAGAGGCCCATGGACCAAATCGCTCACATGAGTGGACCATTCTGTTCCTTACCAGATTTCCCCCTTGTTATACATAATGCATCCCAACCCTACCCCACTGACCATAATTGAGACATTTTGAAATCTACACTACCCCATGATCCTTCCATGGGCACATATGTTTCAGCTTTTTTGGCCCAGTGGTTCCTGAGAAGATTTTCAAAAAAAAATTCCTATATATTTCTATGTGAAACTTTGATTCCCTATAATGACCCCGTCCTTCCCCTGGGGGCTATGATTCCTACAATATAGAATTTACACTACCCCAAAATGCTTCCACATAACCTTCACTTTTTCTGGCCCAGTGGTTCTTGAGAAGAATTTTTCAAAAATTTTCTTATATATTTCTATATAAAACTTAGATTCCTCATTGTGGCCCTGCCCTTCCCCAGGGGTCTTTTTTTGAACAATTTAGAATCTACATTATACCAGGATGCTTCCACATAAGTTTCAGCATTTCTGGCCCAGTGGTTCTTGAGAAGGTTTTCAAAGATTTTTCCTTTATATTTCTATATAAAACTTTAGATTCCCCATTATGGCCCCGGCCTTTCCCCGGGGGTCATGATTTGAACAATTTAGAATCTACATTATACCAAAATTCTTCCACATAAGTTTCAGCTTTTCTGGCCCAGTGCTCTTGAGAAGGTTTTCAAAGATTTTTCCTATATATTTCTATGTAAAACTTTGATTCCTCATTATGGCCTTGCCCTTCCCCCAGGGGTCATGACGTGAACAATTTAGAATTTACACTATACTGTACCAGGATGCTTCCACATAAGTTTCAGCTTTTCTGGCCCAGTGGTTCTTGAGAAGAAGATTTTCAAAGATTTTTCCTATATATTTCTATGTAAAATTTTGATTCCCCATTGTGGCCCCGCCCTTCCCCCTAGGGTCATGATTTGAACAATTAAGAATCTACACTACCCCAGGATGCTTCTACATAAGATTCAGCTTTACTGGCCCAGTGGTTCTTGAGAAGAAGATTTTTTAATGCCCCAACGCTAATTTTGCCTTTTTAGCTCACCTGAGCCAAAGGCTCAAGTGAGCTTTTCTGATCAAAATTTGTCCGTTGTCTGTCGTCGTTGTCGTTGTTGTCGTCGTAAACTTTTCACATTTTCATCTTTTTCTCAAGAACCACTGGGCCAATTTCAATCAAACTTGGTACAAAGTATCCTTGGATGAAGGGGAATCAAGTTTGTTCAAATGAAGGGCCAGGCCCTTTTCCAAGGGGAGATAATTATGAATTAGAGAAAAATTAATGGCATTTTTAAATAATCTTCTTCTCAAGAACCACTGGGCCAGGAAATATGAAACTCATATGGAATCATCCTCAGGTAGTGTAGATTCAAACTTGTTCAAATCATGACCCCCGGAGGTAGGGTGGGGCCAAAATGGCCGAACAAAGTTTTATATAGGAATATATAGGGAAAATCTTTAAAAATCTTATTCTCAAGAACCTTTGGGTCAGGAAAGATGAAACTCATGTGGAATCATCCTCAGGTAGTGTAGATTCAAGCTTGTTCAAATCATGACCCCCGGGGGTAGGGTGGGGCCAAAATGGCCCATTAAATTTTACATAGGAATATATAGGAAAAATCTTTAAAAATCTTCTTCTCAAGTACCACTGGGCCAGGAAAGATGAAACTTATGTGGAATCATCCTCAGGTAGTGTAAATTCAAGTTTGTTCAAATCATGACCCCTGGGGCCAAAATGGCCGATCAAAGTTTACATAGGAATATATAAGAAATTTTTTTTAAAAATCTTCTTCTCAAATACCACTGGGCCAGGAAAGATGAAACTCATGTGGGATCATTCTCAGGTAGTGTAGATTCAACTTTGTTCAATACATGACCCCCAGAGGTACATGTAGGGTGGGGCCAAAATGGCCAATAAAAGTTTAACATAGGAATATATAGGAAAAATCTTTAAAAATCTTCTTCTACCACTGGGCCAGGAAAGATGAAACTTATGTGGAATCATCCTCAGGTAGTGTAGATTCAATTTTGTTCAAATCATGACCCCTGGGGGAAGGATGGGGCCAAAATGGTGGATCAAAATTTTACATAGGAACATATGTGGAAACCTTTTAAAATCTTCTTTTCAAGTACCTCAAAGCCAGGCTTCATTATATTTATAGGGAATCATCCTCAGGTAGTGTAGATTCAAGTTTGTTCAAATTATGACCCCCTTGGTGAGAGGGATGTAAAATTCAAGCCCCCCCCCCTCCCAGTTTACTTTTAGTTCTAATCTGATCTGTGCTTTTTCCTAGCCAATTGCTCAGGTGAGCGATGTGGCCCCAGGGCCTCTTATCTTGATTATCTCCCCTTGCGAGGGGATATGTTCCTTAATCTTAACAATTTATATTCCCCTTCATCCAAAGATGCTTTGTACCAAGTTTGGTCAAAATTGGCCCAGTGGTTCTTGAGAAGAAGTCGAAAATGTGAAAACTTTACAGACAGACAGACAGACGACGGACAAAATGTGATCAGAAAAGCTCACTTGAGCCTTCAGCTCAGGTGAGCTAAAAATACATTATAATATTGAAATATTAACTTTCAATTATAATTATGTATTGGAAAGGCAGATATCCTTATAATTTGTTTGAAAAACAAGATGTGTTTGTGAAACACTATGCTCCCGGTGGCAACACAGTTCAAAAAATCTATTTTTAGCATATTGGTCACAGTCAATGTCACAAGGTCATTGACTGTGGTGTCATTTGAAAGAACTTAATCAGTGGAGTATGCATCCCAAATATGAAGTCCCTATCTCCTATGGTTTAAAAGTTATGGCAAAAAAATGTATGAAGCTATTTTTAGCATATAGGTCACAGTCAAGGTCATTGACCATGGTGTCATTTGTAAGAACTTAATCAGTGGAGTATGAATCCCAAATATGAAGTTCCTATCTCCTATGGTTCAAAAGTTATGGCAAAAAGTGTAAAAAGCTATTTTTAGCAATTAGGTCACAGTCAAGGTCACATGGTCATTGACCATGGTGTCATTTGAAAGACCTTAATCAGTGGAGTATGCATCTAAAATATGAAGATCCTATCTCCTTTGGTTCAAAAGTTATGGCAAAAAGAGTAAAAAGCTATTTTTAGCATATAGGTCACAGTCAAGGTCACAAGATCATTGACCTTGTTGTCAACTGAAAGGGCTTTATTAGTGGAGTATGCATACCAAATATGAAGTCCCTATCTCCTATGGTTAAAAAGTTATGACAAACAGTGGAAAAAGCTATTTTTAGCATATAGGTCACAGTCAAGGTCACAAGGTCATTGATCTTGATGTCATTTGAAAGGACTTTATTAGTGGAGTATGCATACCAAATATGAAGTCTCTATCTCTTATTGTTCAAAAGTTATGGCCAAGGTTAAAGTTGACAACAGACAAATAGACAGGACAAAAACAATATACGCCCGGAATCTATCGATCCGAGCGCATAAAAATAAGAAATTTCATTTCAAAGGTTAAATTAGTTATTGTGTACACTGTTGTTCAATTACAAGTACATGCACATAACGGAATGAACATGATGAAAGTTATTTTAACCTTTGTTATATGATAAAACATAACTTGGAGCAGTTAACTCATTTTTTAAAAGCATCGGTTGACAATGGTTTTTCTTGGGGTGCCAATTTCAACTGTTACCCTCCAAAACAGGCACCATTTATATAATGTACAAAGATATAAAATACGTACCGTAACATGACTACTTTCAATCTGTGGTTCTCCTCTTGGTCCAGAAGACTGAACCTCATCAATAATCATTGGACTTTCTTCCACTTTTACTTCAGTTTTTATTTCTATTGGTGGATCCAAGTTTGGGACT